GAGCTTACTGGACTCGACCGGACACTGAGGCTCAGCGTTCAGTCATTTTCTAACGACGCGTCCGGTCGACCCTGGGTGCTCTCTGGACTCGACCGAATGCTATGGCTCAGCGTCCAGTCGTTTCTAACTGAGCGTCCGGTTACAGGTGAATGTGTGGCAGCAACAGCTACTTTAGTTTGAACTGGACACATGGTGGTCAGGCAGTGACCGAACGCGTCCAGTCGCCATATCGGACGCGTTCGGTATACACGACCGGTGCGTTCGGTGCACACAACCTGCGCGTCCGGTCGACGCGCAGTCAACCCAATAATTGAGCCAATGGCTCTATTGTTTGGGGGTGTCTATAAATACCGTTTGGTCGGCTCAAGCTCACTCTCTTGGCCATTATGCATTGACATAGCAACCTTGTGAGCTTAGCCAAAGCCCTCCCACTCATCTCCATCATAGATTTAACATCTTTGTGAGATTGGGAGTGAATCCAAGTGCATTGCTTGAATGTTTGCATCTAGAGGCACTTGGTGTTCGTGTTTCGCTGTGGGATTCGCTTGTTACTTTTGGTGGTTGCCTCCACCTAGACGGCTTGGAGCAGCGAGGATCATCGAGCGGAGGTTGGTTATTGTCTCTGGCTCCGATTGTGGTGATTGTGAGGGGTTCTTGACCTTTCCCTGATAGAGAGCCAAAAGATACTCTAGTAAATTGCTCGTGGCTTGTGTGATCCTCATCTTGTGTTGGTTGTGCGGCACCCTATTGAGGGTTCAGCATGTGATGCCAATTAGCGCGTGAACCTCCAAGTGAGTGAATCGCCACAACGAGGACTAGCTTGCCGGCAAGCAAGTGAACCTCGGTAAAAAATCATTGTGTCATCATTTGACTCCAAGGTGATTAGTCTTCATTGGTTTTCATTCTTGTGATTGATTTGTTTATTCCTTGACACGGTGGTATAACTATCTTACTCTCTCTCTCTTTACATTACCGTAAACTAGTTATCAAGCTCTTTTGTATAGCAAGTTGTGAGAGCTTGTTAGTTTGGTTAGTGTGGCTCTTTAGTTAGCCTTTGAGAGCACACTAACTTAGTGTAGTGCCATAGCCATTGTGTGGTTAGAAACAATAGAAATTAGAATTGTGGTACATGGCTTGCATTTTTAGTAGGCTAGTGCAACACTTGCTTCGCCTCATAATTGTCTAACCGGTTTGTTAAGTATTGTTGTAGAAATTTTTAATAGGCTATTCACCCCCTCTAGCCATTAGGACCTTTTAACACGCCGCCACATTATGTCTTTGCCTGCTCTCATTGCCCAATGCTGGTCTTGCCGTCCGTCACTTCCGCAAGCCACAGACCGCCTTTCACCGCCCCACTGTCCCATCATCACTTCATCGTCACGTCTCCGCACGGCTGCATAGTTTTCTGTTGTCACTACCGGTGCCAGGCCACGTTGCTGCTGCCGCTTGCCACCGCATGCACATGGGGTGCCGCAGCCACGCTCGTGCCGTCGCCTTGCCTTAATGGCGCTACGGCCACGCTTGCTACTCCTACCTGCCCTCCCCGCCCACACATGTGGTCCGGCCATGTGTTGCGTAGTTTGGTCGCAGGCACAAACGCATGTTTGATCGGCCGCTTGTCGCCAAGGCCAACCGAGCAGTGCCATGTCGCATCTATCTCTCCCTCTTCCTCTATTCTCGCCGTCGGGTCATGCCCATGAGTGTGCCAGTGGGGCGGTCACCTCATCAATCACTGGTGCCTGCAGCTTCGCCCTTCCATCTTCTCGCCGCCTAACCCCGCACAACCTTAATGGCGGTCCGGCCAAGCGCCAATTTTGGCATCTCCCACCGGCGAGCCGTTAAGGCCACACCTCGGCCATGACCAAGGGTAGACTTCAATTCCCCGCCCTAAGCCCAATTGCTTGCGCCATTGCACTCGCATGACCCTCCTTCTCACCGTGCGCATCTAAGCCTCACCTTTATTGCCACCCTCACGGCGCTGACGCGGCCGCATCACCGTAGTTTGTCGTGGGGCTTGCCGTGCACACATGGCCAGACGTGCCCGGTCCGTCCCTAGCCAAGCCACCACCACGGGTAGCTGCGGGGTGAGTTGCTGATGCTCACCCATTATTTCTATCACCTCTGTTGTGCCAAGGCTTATCGAAATGCGGCTACCGCTGCCGGAGGGTGTCCGCCACCGTGGAGGGAGCACCTGGACGCATCCCCACCCATTCTACCTCCACCTGGCGACTCACGTCAACCCCTAGGTGAGCGTCGACCTCTTATTTTGGGCAAGGAAGGTCCCGGGTGGCCGGCGGGAGCTCCAATTCCACCGCCGCCACACCGGTGCTCACGGGGGTGACCGGGGGACCTGGCCGATGCAAAGAGGGAAGAGTGAGAGGGCCTTGTTGCAAAGTTTCTCTCTTTAGGAATAGTTTGTGGAGTGCGGATTGATTTGCCGGTAGCTCAAGGGTGTTTTTGCAAGAGTACTAGCGCGTGCGGGCTTCCCCATCGAGGGTCATTTTCACGCGTGGGCCGCGCCTCGCGCGGGCTGCATTGGGCCAGAATCCGTTTATCATTTATGTGGGAAAATAGAAATAGTTTTATATTTTACGTTCTAAGTTGAACTTTAGAAATTAATATCAATTCATATAAGTATCCAAAAATTGTAAAATAAATTTTGTTGAGTTCCTAAAAATGTTGTCTCTCTGATGGCATAGCTAGTTTATGCATGTCTGAGTTGATACTGAGATCTATTAAATCAATCGAGAGTGTTTAGTATTATTTAGGTTAATATTTGTAGGAATTTTTGTGGTAAAATGGTGATAACTTTAGCCCTAAAAATTTTATAGTAGCTTCCTTAGATTATTATGTGCTCACTATAATTTTTGTAGCCTTAGAATAGGTTGATAAATAGGGTAGCTAAGTACTCCTTGTCTTAGTATATATGAAATCGTAAATAAAGTAAGAAATGCATTTTGGTTGCTAAGATAATACTTGAATGTTTCATACTTGTTTAGTGTAAAGGATGGGTAGCTTAGCATCTTAATCATTAGAGTTAGCTTAGCAGCTTGATAGATGTATTGTTATTTTAAGAGTTGCTGTTGCTAAAATGCTAAGTGTTGCATCATCATTGCATGCATGTAGAGAACGCGTTGGTGGAGTTCGTGACCGCTGGAGAGCATGAATACGATGAGGAGGTGATTGAGGAGTATGAAGAGGAGGTCTTTATACAGGAGGAAGCCTCGGAGCCACCGACGACTGACATAGCTGACCACCTGTCTGCCCAAGGCAAGCCCCGGTGCATAACCCTTATTTTGAATAAGCACTGAATATATATATCTGTGATGTGCATTTACGTTACAGGCATTTTATGTAAACCACCTGCATAAATATATATGTCCTATGAGTCCTACTTGTACAGGTGCGAGTAGCTGCTATGCTTAGGATTTTCGGTAGCGTGAGTAACTTGTCGTTACTCATAATAGGTGATTGTTATTATCACTCTTATGATAAAATGGTGAAAGGAAAATAGAGATCAGGAAGGGATATGGTATATGTATTGGTGGGTGTAAGAGGTTGTATCCCACGGTCAATGGAGCATAGCTTGGTTACACTGTTTTTCATGTCTGTATCGGTTAAGGACCGGCCGTTGCATTGAGTTATAGTCAAGTCACAGACTTATTATCCTGAGCACATACTTATTTATGGGAGCAGGAAAGGCTCGTTGCTCTCTTGTCGTGGGTTCTGGCTTTTTCGGACCGACTGATTGGAGGCGGGGATGGTGGAGGTCTAAGCACCACACTGAGTCCGAAACTCAGGTATAGGGGCTTGGAGTCCAAGTTCGGACGGGGACTTGGACCCCTTGACAGGAGAGTGGTGCGTTAGTCCTGTTTGTGTCTGGGGTACAAGCGAATCGTATGTTTTGGAGTACCCAGCTGGGCACATTGATTCGCGAATCACCGGGTAATCCGGTACGACTTGTCAACAATCTAGCACCGTAGTAAGAACTGAAAGATGAAAGATGGTGAAATGGATCTGTTTGCTCAACTCTTGCTTGAAAGTAGAACATGTGCTTACATATAATGGTTAGCTAATGAACTAATCATGACTGTTAATGAAACATATATATAAGGATTCACTACTAGTATTGCTATTTGCCAAAAAAACCCAGCAACCCATAAAAGCTTATCATATCCTTTGGAGTCGGGAAATTATTCCCACTAGTCGGGTAAGTCTTGCGAATACATTGTGTACTCAGGGTTTATTTATCTCTATTGCAGGTGCAGTTTGAAGAATAACTGTTGTGTGGATGATTCTTCTAGTGGGCACAGATGGATCATTGTATTCTACCGTTAGATATTTATTGTAATTCCGCTGTTTAAATTCCGTACTCTGAACTTGGTACTGTAATAATGTATTTCTAAGAACTCTTGTTGTATGGAGTGGACTAAGTATTGTAAACTCGTTCTTATTATTGGATTCTGACGGAAAAACGTGGATTATTCGAGTTCTTCCTTGGGGTGTGCTCGACGAAACCGTCCGATGTAGCCACCTTTCGGGATGCTTAGTGTCTGGTGGAAGACGAGCGTCTCCGGAAGCATGATATTTCGGACGGTTCTGCCACACCCATCACCCGCCACATAAGACTGTCTCCAACAACCGCGACCCAAAATACAAGACACATTCGTCCTTTGAATAACACTACAGGCACAGTGTTCAATACCTATTTTTGTCTTTTCCAACGACAAGATCTAAAAGACAACCTTTCTACAAATGTGTCTCCAGGAAAGAAGATACTCAGATTTAAATTATACCTCTCCTAACATCTAAAATATATCTTTTATATAAATACTTTATTGAAGGCTATAGGTATTATACTAAAGACCAGTTAGCCTTCCAATTGTATCCTACCTCGGCGTTACCCAAATCAAGAATTCTCAAACGGTTCGCAGTTTCAGATATCTCTCTGATCTTCCTTCTTATGCGTGGAATCTGAGTACCATCTCTGCGGAGGGTAATCAGGTCACTTGTAAGCCAGCGTACCTTGAAACGGCACCGGCGAAGCCCTTCCGGATCCTGTTCCACTTCTCCATGTAGTCCAAGACTTGGATGACGTTCTCGGCTTCGTACGCGGCGTCTCTGATCTGGCTAACCCAGACAGCGGCACTCTGATTCCCGGATCTCTGCTTGGTGTCGGCGTCCCTGAGGAAGCACTGCAGCCGCTGCAGCTCATCTTTCAAGAACCCGGCTTCGAGGGTGACTCCGCAGAGAAGCGTAGTTTCCTGAGCAGCAAGGTTGCTGATGCTCCTGACCACCGCGGAAACGGCAGGCTCAACCATCGCGCCTTCTCCCTCCCTCCCTCCCTCTGCTCTCAGAGCCCGAATGCTCTGGTTGAAATAATTAGCGTAATGCTTTTGTGCCCAGGGTTAGCTAGGAATGCCGCCCGGTCCACGGGGTCACTCCGGCCTGGAAGCGATCCCAGGCTCCCAGCCCATGAATGCTGGTGGGTTCTAATCCGGCCTACCCAGCCTTTCCTCCACACCCTACGGGCTAGTTTGGCAGCAGGGGCAAATGCAGCGGGAAGACAGCCACGGGTTTGCTCGGGTGTGACTCCCCTGTTTGCTCGGGCGGCGCCGCCGTTTCCCGCACGCGATGCCGGCGACGACGGAGGACTCCCCGGCGATACGGAAGCTGGGGCAGCTCTTCCGGCTTACCGAAGTATACCTCTGGTAAGTCTCCTGTCTCCCCTACCCGCTTCTCAGCGTAGGGTTTGCCGTTTGCGAGGAGTGTCCCGTCCCGTCTCCTCAAACTGCTCTCTCCCTGCAGGGACGATTCGTATGGCGCTGGACCTCACCATGGCCAGAAGAACTGGCGCTCGGCGGAGGGTGCTCTCGTGGTACGGTCTCTGATCCGCTTTGGTGTAGCTCACTCTTTAAGCTTTCTGATGAGTTGGGGGGCGCTTGTGCTTCCACTAGTATCTGGCTAACCTCGTCGGGCTACTGCTAACTTCTTGGCATCTGTATTATTGAGCAAGAAGGCCTAACACATAATTTCAGGCTTGCCCAAGAGTCTAGTTAACACAAGGAATTCGTTTTGTGTTGTGGTTTGTGCATTGCGCCCAAACAGTAGCCTGTACAAAATGTTAATGGTCGCATGCACTTTAAACAAAGTTCTTATATGATATGACAAAATACCCTGGGCACATCTATGACAGACTACCGATAAGTGCATAACTATTTCTCCTAGTTCTACCAGGAAATAATCCTGGACCTCGAAATGATTCAGCCTGGTCAGGTTAGAGAACCATACTAAACATTTCGAGTGACCGCTCTTCGAGTATCATTTTTCTTGAAAGCACATTGTTGACATGGAAGCTTGCTACATAACACTTCCTTGTAGTGCTTTATTTAATTATTTACCGATGATCTTTTTGGAAAATTAAGTTGTCTTAAACAATTGTGGCTTCAGTGATGATTGCTGAACTAAGCATTAATCCGCTGCGCTTCTCTTCTTGATTCTGATATGTCAGTTATTTGTTGATCAAACTGATGAATGGTTTGCTTTACACTTCGATCTCCTTTGAGAGGAAAACCTGTGAAGGTGTGGACTAGATCATGTATAGACCAACGACATTATCTTATTAAAACATTTTTAAATTAATTTAGTGATTTCAGAATCATTTTTACTCTTCTGAGGAATTCATTTTGTTGTGAAAGAGTCAATAAACTTAGCTGCTTAGCAGACTATGTCAAGTTTGTTACTTCTATGCTGCGTCCAACAAATTCCTATGAGGTCTATAAGGTACATAGCAATTTGACGACCTTCAACTTTTCAGGACTCTCATACAGATAAAACATGCAATGAAGCATCCAATGGCACTGACAAAGGTTAGATGCATTTTCCTTGTATTGTAGTATCTTCTTTGGTCAATTTTCTATACAGAGGATGTTACAATGTATGTTACTTTTTTGTTGGAAACAACCCATTAGGGAAAAAAAATCATTTCATTTGAAAAATCTTAAGAATCTGAATCTCGGCATGCTTCCACACCGCCAGTTTTCAGGCCACTGTCTCTTCGTTGGATTAAATGATGCTTCTTCTTCTTTTCTTTTTCTTTTTTTTTGGGGGGGTCCTGTTTATAATTGAATCAAGAGATTTTATTGGTCACCTGATTTCTGTTGCCTGACGTGGGACCTGGATAGACTTCAGGTCTGCCTTAGTTGATAAGTTCACTGGCGCTAGTGAAAGAAAAGTAGATGTATTCTTATGAACAGGCAACCACTCAGCATCCAATAGAGAAGGGTCAAATCTTTAACTAAAGTCACAATATACCTTTAGTACTATTACAGGGGCTGACCCCTTCCTGTCTAGTGCTTGTGAGATCATAGGAGATGGGGCGTGGTGGCTAAGATTGTGGATCACATTCGCCAAGCTCCCAGGATCAATGTGATCTAGGGACATGGTATGCTACTTGTGAAAGGGTCCGAAAAGGCCGGGATGACATTGTTCCTGCATTCCTGGAATGGGGATGACACCCCCAGGGCAAGGAACGTGGCACAGTTCCACATTCCTGGTGACATTCCTGGATCAAATGGGAGGCCAAATCACCACGGGATTACTGTAGGAAGGGAAAGCTGGCGTTGACAATTTGAGTCATTGTTGCAGCATCTGTTCATGGCTCCATGCTCATTTTATGTCATATTGCCCACACATAACATTTTAATAGTAAAATCAGTAGCAGTTATTTTTCCTTTTCCCTTATGTGTCAACCGATTTCTTACTGTGTATATGATCTGTCTATCAGTAGGCCATTCGTTTGTTGAAGATTTGGAATTGGCCAACCTCATGGGTTCTTTGGGGCTTCCTGTTTCATTCAGCACAAGTAAAGTGGTCAGTGCTCACATAATGCGACGCCATGTTACTGTTCCCCTACCGGTTCCATTGCTTAATTCCTTTATGCATTGCAGAACAAGAACACCGGCAACAAGGGAAAGAAAAAAGGAAGACAAGCACCGCTCAAAGCAGCAAACACTCAAATCAATGATGCTGGGAGGATATGTGCCAATACTGAAGATAGAGAAAGTACTGTTGAATCATTGGATGTTATGGAGCACATGCACTCATGCAATTTATCTGGGACTCCGCTGGGTCACAATGAACCCTGCATTGATGACACTGACAAGATGCTTAGGGAAGACAGTCCTTGTGTTGAAGAACAAGAAGAGTCTGGCTGTAGCACCATCTACTCTGCTGACAAAGCCCCTGGCTGTGATGCTAAAAATCAGTTCACTGAACTTGGGACTTTTGAGCTGTCTGATAACTTGGGCAACCCAGCAAAAGAAGAATATTCAATTCAAGAAAATCAAGCTTCTGACAGCGTGTTGCTAGATTCTGAAGAGATGTCAAGGCATGACTGTGTTGGTGGTGAATCTACACATTCCTGTGTCGGCATTTATCAGGAAGAAATAGTGTCCACAAGGGAAGATCAAACATCTGAAGAAACTCTGTCAGTACCCCATGATAATAATGGTGTTGGCCGAGAAGCTAGTTTAAGTTTGGCAGAGCCATCTTCTATTGATGAGCATGCACAAAATTCTGCCAACAACTTTTTCTATGACTATGGTGAATGGAGGGTTGTCTGGGATCCATTCTATAGTCGGTATTATTTTTACAACATCCAGACACAAGAGTCCACATGGTATCCTCCTGAAGGATTGGAGGATTTTGCATCATATTGTAGCCCAGATACCACTAAAGAGCTAGTTGAACTGGGATCTCAGTGTACAAGCATAGCACTGCAAGAGAACAGTAAGAACCCTAGAATTTTTGGATTATCACTTTGAGTCTTGTCCTTTGCAGTTAACATTACGAATAGTTATATGCACTGTGATAAAACTTTCTACAATATGTAACACTTGAGCATGTAGCAATGGATTGTGAACATTTAATAATAAGGTAGTGAAATCCATTACACACGGTATTGAGTTTTGCACTACAAATGCTGAAGGAGAAAGACATATCTTATTGCATACCTGCAGTATTGGGCCGTTTGGTTGTGCCCCACACAGCTTTGCCTAGCGCCGTCCTCTCTCCCATGCATCCAATTTGGGGTGCCTGGCACCCACGCTGCCTGCAAGGCCGCGATCCAAACATGCCCATATATATTTTGGGAATTTGGTGTTCTCAAAATCACAGTAACCTTAATTGTCAATGCCTTTATTGTGACATTAATTATTGCCATTGATTTCCTGTCTGTAGGTGCAAACAAATATATACCTGAACATGAATGTACTTCTTGGGACCATTTTGTAGGGGTTTTGTCATTTACCTCTGTCACCAATTTACTCATATGCTAGCTTCTTGTTTGGGACTAAAGGCTTTGTTGTTGTTGTTTTAGTATGTCACGCATTTCTTTAATCTCATCATCACAGATCTGGCTAGTGATGACAATCATTTAGAAGCACAGGAACAAGATCACTGCATTCATGATTTATCTGACATTCCTGTTGAAAAGCCAATATATCAAAGGTAGGGAAGATCAAACTATACAATGTTTACCAAGTTATTGTTGTTTTTTTTGTTAATTCTGTTCATCTATGCAGTATGATAACTACCTCTGACAAAGCACAGCACACTGAAAATAAGTACAGCGATTCAACAACTATTGTGTTAGAGATGAACCAGGAAGTTGCTAGCACCAAAAAGAAAAAGAGAGTAAGGAGATCTCAATCGTGTAAGGCGATAATATATGGCATCTGCTTTCTAGGAGTTTGTTCCTGTTACAATTTTAGGTTGCACTTTTACATAATAGTTTCTTGGTTTCTTTGAGCAAATGCATCTTTGCATGACTGCTATGTATTGCCTACTTATGTCTAGGTAACTTTTTTTCTGCCAAGTTATGTCTAGGTAACTAGGTCTTCTAGAACACTACCTTGTTAGCTATGTCTTAGTGAGATTTGCCTAATATTTATTTTCTTGTGTTCCGTTCTTGTGCTCTTTCTACATATTTGCCAACAGCCATTTTAATTGTTCTACAGATCATTCATGCCAAGACATGGCAGGGGACATCTCCAGTGACATCATCAAATACTGGACTCAGCGGTACTCACTTTTCTCACTTTTTGATAGCGGTATAAAGATGGATGAAGAAGGGTGGTTTTCAGTTACGCCAGAGCCAATTGCAAAGCATCATGCATCTCGTGTTGGCGCGGGAGTAATGATTGATTGTTTCACAGGAGTTGGTGGAAATGCCATCCAGTTTGCCACAAAGTACGTCACTGTTATCTTGTAATCGAATCATATGATGGTCAACTGTATCATTTGCTTGAACACTTCCTATTGCATAGCAACTGTTATTTTGCTTATGTAACGAGAATGCAGTGGCTATATGCCTAAAAAAAGGGCGTACCCAGTGTAGAGAGCTCTCGCTCTGTGTAGGGTCTGGGGAAGGGTGTCAGTGGCAAGCCTTACCCTCGCCTGTGCAATGCGAGGAGACCGCGACTTGAACCCGGGACCTTCCGGTCACAGGCGGTAAGACTCTACCGCTTGCACCAGGCCCACCCTTCGAATGCAGTGGCTATATGCCTATATCACCTTAAGTAGTATGCTATGTCCACTGCCCAGTTTAACTAAGGCATCTGCTTCCAGTAATATGGCAAGGCTCTTCCTAGTTTTGCTGTTATTTAATATATGGAGGTGTCCTTTTAGAAGAAGGAATAGACTATTACTTAATATGGAGGTGTTATTGTGGACATTTGGAGCATGCTCATCATGTCACTTGAGTTAGTAGAGCTAGCCTTAGTTGTTTGCAGTGTAGCTAAAGGTGGATTTATTTTATGTTATCAATGTTTCTTTTACAGTACTAAAACTTTATTGTTCGACATTAACTATGTCAATTCCTTTTCCAGGTGCAAGCATGTAATTGCAGTTGATATTGATCCAGAAAAGATTGATTGCGCACATAATAATGCATCCATTTATGGAGTAAATGATCGCATAGATTTCATTGTAGGTGATTTTGTACATATAGCTCCTCATCTGAAGGTAATGCCTTTTTCTTGGAATTATTTCTTTTAAGTTTGTCAACATGTCGGCATGCCTCTTCCATCAGCTACATGTCTTTGTAGCTGTTTGCGAGAGTGAATTTATTGTTGACCTTGGTTGCATTTGCCCACCCATTTTAGGATAGGGGCTTGTACTACAAATATCTTGATACTTCAAGTCCTACAAAAATCATATTTTTTCCATTTGAACATCGAGATTTTATGGTCCCATGGAGTTGTGCCTATTTTTCTACGATGCCCATCTTTTGGCAGTACCTTCTCTGTGTACATAATAAATGGGAGGAAGGTTGAGGAAGATCTGGTGTCATTTATTTGTGGGGCTAATTGGTTATGCTTAAGCAAACTATTTTCTGTAGGGAGAAACTGCTTTCATGTCGCCTCCTTGGGGTGGACCTGACTATGCCAAAGTTGATGTTTATGATATGAAAAGCATGCTTATGCCTTGTGATGGGTTAGTTCCTTGTTTCTAGTTTTAAGAGAGTATTTTCTTTCAGTTTGTGCTCATTGATGTTTACTTATTTTTTCGTTGATCGACTATACTCATTGTTGAACTCTTTAGGTACTCTCTTTTTAAACTTGGTACTATGATAGCTTCAAGAGTAGTGATGTTTCTTCCTCGCAACATTGACCTAAACCAATTGGCTGACATGTCCTTGTCTGTGGATCCCCCATGGGCGGTTGAGGTAAGTCCATTTTGCTGATTTTGTGCCAAGCCGACTTTTCCTATAGATGTCGCAATGGTCTCTCTCTGCAGGTCGAGAAGAACTTCCTCAATGGAAAGCTGAAAGCCATAACAGCATACTTTGAAGAACAGGACGGTTGAGTCATGCATCGGCACTGGTGATACAAATTATCTTGTTAACTTAGGACTTACTAGCAATTTTGGAGGGACCTTGAGTATAGGAATTAGGACATGTCCCTCTCCAATGGATACAATGAAGGGGTCTTAGGTCTTTTCACCAAAGGACATGTCCCTTTGCCTTCGGTGAAGACAGTATTTGCTAATTGATCACTAACTGTTGTCTAATTCTAACAATTTGCTCGGAGCGCATGATGAAATAGAACCTTGTGTTCGGAGACCAAAAAAAAAAAGAGTGGTTTATCATCTTCACCGAGGATAGATAATTTGTTGTCAGAGATGAGTCAATAGAATGGCCAACCTTCATTGGTATCATACAAAACTAGCTCAGCTTATCTCAATTCTCAGCAAGTGAAACTGAGAAAGGAAAATTACAAGGCTGACAGTCGAAAGCGTGGGAGTTAGATAGTTTAATTTTGCCCTATGATAAGCAAGCATGCTTCCTGGTTTATTTCATACATCTACTTGTGGTTTCAGCTGCAATAGTTGTGTGTTCGTGTGCGTGTAGTTTGTGACATATCTGGTCCTGCGGGTATGTGAGTGATGCAAATGTATGCATGTGTCGTCCATGTAAATGTAATTTTTCGGGGAAAAAAAACGAGACGGCATCAAGGTTCCAACATGAAAAGTTGCTGTGTGGATTTCCCTCTAAGAACATACGTATCCCTGTAATGATCATACACTAACATATTTGAAGACAGCGTAGTACCTTATTGGACTGCTCTAGATGGATGCAAAAAAAAAAAAAAAATCCTAACTTCAAAATAGCCAAACCGTGAAAATAGGGAAAACGTACTCTGTTTCTATCTATCGCTAACGTTGATTTGCATAAAGAAGGGTGTTTCGATTCACATACAAATGCCTGTATGTTGTACATAATCTCTTATCAAGGGTGCATATGATAGGGATCTAAATTCTTATAGAAATGTTTTGAATCTAGATTCTCTCAATGATGATAAATCAGTCGTTAAACCATTTGACTCTAGATTCTAATTCAATAAAAAAATATTTTTGCATAAAGAAATTCATATAAATGAAAATACGTTTCAAAAAATTATCAGAACTTTTTGTGTGTATAGAGCAACTTAAATATAATCCACTTTAACTTGTTGCACTCTTAAAAGGGTTAACTAAAAGATATGACTGTTAAGTACAGAGGAAAGGCAACAAAGAGAATCACGTGAAATTGGGTTTTGTGCGTTTCACCTGCGCAGGCAAAACTAGTAAATTAGTTCCAGCCGATTTCGGGCAACAAACAAAACTGCAACCACTGTTTGGCGCAAATTTTAGTGTTCATGTGAGAAACCGAAATGATTCGTACATCCGAACACACCCTATATACTGATATTTAGGACAAGCATATTATTCAGAAATATATATAGTGTATACTCCCTCTGTCCCTGAATAATAGATTCCTAGAGTTGTTTTAAGTCAATCTTTTTAAAATTTGACTGAATTTCTAGAAAAAACATTAAAATATATGAAATCAAATTAGTATCATTAGATTTACCATAAAATATATTTTCGTAAGGTGCTCATTTTATGTTATATATTTTGTTTCTCTTTTCTATAAAGTCAGTCAAACTTTAAGTTTGACTGGCACGGATTGTAGGAGATTCTTTCAGGGATAAAATGTAGAAGTTCATCTTAATTAAGATATGCCAATAATCATCGTTATCTCCAAATAAAGTAGAGTTGTCTCTAAGTATGCATAAGCATATAAATGAATGAAAAATGGTGAAGTGTTAGAGCCTGGCCCTTGTCGGCTTTTGGCAAAGGTATCCGATTTCGTCTTGCGGATTGTATAATAAAGTCAATGGGTTCCACTTCGTCAGATGCAAACAAAACAATTTTGGCACCTAAAATTCAAGGCATTCATATATCTAGGTACCATATTGAATGTTATCTGTTCATTCTTCGGGATCGTGTGGTAGTGCATTCTCAATGTCTATCCTACACATTGTGTGCCTCCCCACCTTGTTCCGCTTGCTCTTTTGCTTACAGCTATTTAGACCTAATCAAACCACATGTTTCATCGAGTTTGGGTCAGGCCAAAAAAAAAAAGAATCAGGTAAAAAAATCTTTGAGCCTACCCCAAAGCATTGGCGGGTCGGGTTGGGTTGGGTCAGATTATTTCTCAAGTTTTCTTACTATGGGTTGGTTTTTTTTTAGGTTGGATCTGGTCAGTTTTATTCAAAGGCATGACGTTGGGTTGGTCGTGTTGGGTGGCACATGATCTGTAACACCCTCGGTGTTACCGGTTAAACAACTTGCTAAACTATGTCATGAGCATCGTGTTTATGTGTCAATGCATGTGATAAAGTGTGTAGATCAATTTCCGTAACTCAAAACGATCAACGAAAATACTAAACGTAAGTTGATTCAATAGTCATGTTATATTACTTAGGGTTTAAAACCAATTTTTATTAAGCAAAAATATTATAGAACATATATGTGACACTTAAATAAAGTTGGAAGTACAAACTTGGTAGATGACAAAGCAACTTTAACTTTTGAAAAATAGATGTTGTTAACTAATGTTTTGGGAGCTCTAAAATCAAACTTGACGTTAAGATAAGCTCTTTTCGTTAAGTCGACAAACATTTGAATTTATGTTTAAAGTACCATTTTGGCGAATTATATTGAGCAAAATAGTTAAATAGTGCTTAAATATCTTGCTCCTACGGGTTGGTATAAAGTATGGACTATTGCGTAAAGTAGGTGTTGGTTAAGGTTAATAAAGTTTAGACCTTTTAAAAATTATGACAAGAGTGCCAGTGGTTGTTAGTTCTAACCAAGCCTTTAAATTTTCTAAGTCTAAAATAGCCTTAGGCAATGCCATTTTGGCATTTGAATTCCGACAAAAATGGTTAAGCACTAAAATTATATTCTTGTATCATTGGTTGCTTCTAACTTAGCACTTGGGTGAGGTGTAGGTCGTAGTTGAGTTGGATGTCAACTTGAACCCTTAAAAATTTCCCAAAACTCCTTAGAACGTGTGGTGAATCACGTTCCAGTGCCATGTTCGTGAACTAGAGTTCGGCATGATGAGCCCATGCTGGCATGTAGCCATCTCCTCCTTGAGTTGCTCCTTGACCTTGGTGATTGCTTCGCCTGGTAGTTGATACTACTGGCTTTAGGTTAGGGAAATTAGTCGAACTGCATCCAGAGTCGTTAGCGGTTTTTGTGACACTTTAAAAAGCATGTTCGTCACCGTTTCGGCAATTGGCTTCCGTGGCCGCGGTCACCACGCGCGTAGGCACTGTGGGTGTCGAGCTCGCACAGCGGCTAGAGCGGCGGTCATGGGCCAGTCTAGGCTGGTTGCGGCTAGTCTCGTTGCTGCATGTGCGTCGTCCCGTTTGCCTGGGCGCGGTCGCTGCTGTGGGTGGTGCGGGCGTGCTGCTAGCCGTCGGTCCGCGCCGTGGTTGCGGCTGCAGTGCGTGGTCGACGTGGTGCTCGCTCTGCCCCTCATTCTACCTATCACGCAGTCCATGTGTTGGAGCCCTGCCGCCGTGTTGAATCAGTGGCTCGACCGCAGAAGCGATGGGACGCTCCCCTGCCCTGCCTTGTCCCGCTAGCTGCCATGGAGAGCCCGGCTCGGGTCCGGTCACTCCGAGTTAAGCGCGTCGCACCAATGCCTCATATTCGCTAGTCGCGTGCACATGCTCATGTCGCAGCAGGAGATCTGAGTTGGCCGTCTTAAGCCGTCCGCCCGCGTGCGGGTGCTTCTCCATGACATGGCACGCCCAGAGCTTGTCTAGCCGCCCTCTAATCCGCTTAAGCTCCGGTCCTCTGCGACCTGATTCTTTGCGCCAGGAGGTGGCTCCGGAAGCCCATTAAGCGCTCTGTCTTTCCCATCCCCGGCCAAGGGCTATCGATGGCCAACTGAGCATTTTACCGTCACGGGCCATGGTCGCCGTCTTGACCGGGAACTGGGAAGAGAGGTAGGATTGGAGCGATATAAGTTCGATTGTTTGAGACCATAAACTCGCATTGACCCCTCCATTTGGTGCTCATGCTTTTTTGTCCAGGAGGCTCACCATAGGCTCGGTGACGCGCCGGTGCCACGCTCGACACGCCGCCGTGAGGTGCGGGCGCACATGGCCAGCACTGCGGGGGCCATCTTCGACTTAACCATCACCTCGATCATGTTCGTTGTAAGCTGCTAATGCTCAATCACCGCCCTTTTTGTCCGTTAGTGGCTCTAGCTCGCCAGAACTCTCACGTCGTCGTGGTGGTTGGTTCGCCGCCGTGAGCAGCACGATGGAAATCGTCGTTAGGATCCCAACCGTCACCTAGGAATGCACGCTTAGCGGTAGGCAGAGGTCGGCTCCTTTATCCCCGTCGTAGCGAGCTTCGTGTGCTCAGCGTAGCCGCCCATGTCGCTGGTCGCTGTGTTGGCGAACGCGGGGTAGAGCAAGGGTCTCCCCATGGTGAAGGCGACATTTTCTAGGGTCCTTAGTGCAACGCTCTTCTCTGGTGTAACAGTGTTCCGTAACGTCGCGCGATATTCTATGAAGCTGGGGGTTTTTCTGCAAAGGTGTGGGTGCGCGCACGGGTTTCCCGTCGCGGGCCGCTTGTTGGCCCGGCCTGCTACACGCACGACCATTTCCACGCGAGCTGCCTGGGCTGTTGGACCGAATCGGTTGCCGCCGGTCCTTTTCGATTTCTAAAGCATTTTCTAATTTAGCTTCTAAGGTAAATTTTTAAATTCAATATAAAATTGTGTAGTTAACCAAAAATTGTGAAATTAATTTTGTTAGGTTCCTAAAATCATGATTTATCTGCTAGTATATTTTGTTCATATAGTTTTATAATATTCTTAGGAGCTATATAATTAATTTGAGATACTTAATATTATCAAAATATAAATTTGGAGGAATTGTTGTGATAAATTGGTGATAGTGTTGGCTCTGGAACTTTCACAGTAAATCTCTAACATTATTAGGTGCTCACTGTAATTTTTGTAGCTCTATAATAATTAGTTTGCTAAGATAGCTAAATGAGCCCTAGTTCAAAAATATATATTTAATCAATTAAATGACAAAACACTTTGGGATTTTAGAACTAAAACATTTTTCTAGAGACAAAGCCTTACTTGACGACGTGGATACGTAGACCAGCACATTAGTCATTAAAGCTAGCTCGTTAGCTTGCGAAGCGTAATTGTATATTTAAGAGTTGCGGTTACCGTTGATTAATTGCGTCTCTGCGTTGCATCCACGTATATAATAATAGGAACAACGATGGATCATGGAGTCGACCGAGGTAGCGGAAAAGATGGTGCCTTGATGATCGTGTCACCTTGATGGAATACTAACTTTTGGTTATATCTTACCCAGGCAAGCCCCGGTGCATAACCCTTATTATTCTGCACTTTATTTTATACTTGTGCATTAAGTTTAAGGAGTTGAATGAAACCCACTTGCATATATATATATATATATATCCTTATCCTATGAGTTTTACTAGTATGACAGGATCGTGTAGATTGCTATGCTACAGGACTCCGGTAGAAGTCGAGTGATTGCCTGTCACTCGCAAGAGATAGGAAATATATTATTGTTGTTATTATATTACTATCATCTAGAATATATATATATATGAATGATAATTAGAGATCGGGTGGAATGGTACTTTGGATCTGGACTTGGTTTGGCATTCGAGCGAGGCTCGGATTGCACTTGTTCCGCCTGTGTCGATTGAGGACCGCCCGTTGCATTGGATTCTAGTCAGGTCACAGACTTACTATCTTGAGCACATACTTGCTTATGGGAGCGGGAATGCTCGTTGCTCTCTTATCGTGGGTTTCCGCTTTTTCTGGACCGACTGATTGGAGGCGGGGATGATGGAGGTTTAAGCACCACACTGAGTCAGGAACTCAGGTGTGGGGGCTTGGAGTCCAAGTTTGGATGGAGACCTAGACCCCTTGATAGGAGAGTGGTGGGTTGGTCCTGCTTGTGCCTGGGGTACAAACGAGGCGTGTGTTTCGGGATACCCAGCTGGGATACATTGGTTCACGAATCACTGTGTGATACGGTACGACTTGGCTACGATCTAGCACCGTAGTAAAAACTAAAATATGAAAGATAATAAAATTATTCTGATTGCTTACCACCTGCTTGAAAGTAGCATAGATGCTTACATAGAATGATTAGCTAATGAACTAATGATGATTGCTAACAAAATTGACTATAAGAACGCACGTTTAGTAATGCTCCTGCAGATGTAATAAATCCACAAGCCAGATAGCCTTGTATATCCTTAGAGTCTTTTCTTTCCTCCTGACAGGTAAGTCTTGCGGAGTACAATTGAGTACTCAGGGTTTGTTCTACCCTGTTGCAGGTGACAGGTGGATGGTAGAGCTGATACTTGTGTGTGGAAACCTTCTAGTGGGCTCAGCGAGGATTTCCTTAACGTTGCGGACATAGAGTTTATGTGAAACTTTCAACCAAAATGTTTTACAATAGAAAAACTTATAACCTGTTATGATGTATATAACAGATCATCATGTTAGTGTTTAACTTATCATTAAATAATTTTATTTCCGCTGAAACTCTGATAACATTATTATATCCCGCTGTTATAAACAATAAATATTATGCTCTGATGTTGCATGGAAAGTGATGTAAGAAATGACTAAAATATTATAAGCTTTATTCTCCCATTTATGATCCTGTTGAAAAATGTGGATTTTGGGATTCTCCCATGGGGTGTGCTCGACAGAACTGCCTGATGTAGCTCACCTTCGGGGTGCTTAGTATCTAGTGGAAGACAAGCTTCTCTGTAAATGTGTTATTTTGGGTGGTTCTGCCACATGATCAGTCTACCGTTGTTGGCTCTAAGGCCTCACACCTGCATGCATGGAGTGATGGAAAATATTTTGGCCATGTTTTCTAAGGGTCCGTTTGGATGTAGATATTGGAGATGCTGGAATTGAATTGGTAACAATACCAAATCAGAGTTATATTGGAAATAGATACCAATATATTGGAAATGGATACCAATATCAAAGTGGTTGTTTGGATGTAGATAGAATTGTTGGTTGAAATCAAATGCATTGCCGAATACAGATTCTTGTTTGGAGTTGCATATCATGGAATTGGGAATTGACCCATCTTCTTCCCCATCTCACACACGACATAGCCCCTGTCGGGCATGGCGTTGCACCTTGCCGGAGTGGGAGAAGACGAGGTCTCCGGCGAGGGCGCCGCACCTTGCCCCTCGAATCCCCCGTTCCCCTCGAACTCAAACCTTCCCGAATCCATGGAGGCCAGCCCCCGAACCTTTTAGAGCCTCCCTCCCCGTCTGACTCGAGCCGCCGCGAGCCCGCCGCCTCCCCCTTCCGCGACCTCTCGAACTCAAACCTTCCCCCTTCCCCGTTCCCCTCGAACTCAAACCTTCTTGAATCCATGGAGGGACTCGCAATGGCGCCCCGACCCCGACGCCCCTCGGTGCGAGCGCCTGTGAGGTCGAGCGGTCGCACCACCGCCCGCCCGCCCGCCCGCCCTACACGAGCTCGCACCGCCGCTCGCCACCGTCCTCATCGCTGGGGAGTGGGCAGAGGCGGCGCCGGGCATGGCGCCTCACCATGCCGGAGTGGGAGAAGTTGAGTTCTCCGGCGAGGGGGTGGAAGGGCTCGTGCGCGAGAGGAAGGACGTCTCCGGTGAGAGGGCAGAGGGCTGGTGCACAAGGGGCGAAGGCCTCCGGCGAGGGGGCAGAGGATCTGGCGGACGAGGAGAGCGGCGACTCCTTTTTTTCGTCTGGGGAAGAAACGGTTCGATCGATTCTGTCGAATATAGAGGGTGAAGCCTCGGTATTGTGGGGTGGGTCGTGCAGGCCTAGCGAATGCTGTGCGGTATTGGAGCCCGTTTCCACTTGTAAATGCCAAGACCATCCAAACAACGGAATTGGGGGTATTCAATGCTAATGCCAAATTCTAGGCCTGAATACCGACATCCAAACGGGCTATAAGAGCTTTCTTGAGAAGCTACACAAATGGAAGAAAAAGCGTGGTTAGGACAAGTTGATCGGGTCTAGTTTCTACGTTTAGTACTACCACCGTCTCAAAAAGAATACAACTATGGGTTGCATGACACGTAAAGTGGTTCACGTTTGACAAAATTTCTAGCGAATAGTATTCATATTTATGGTTTCAAATTAAATTAATTTATTATAAAAATACATTTCACAATTAATCTAATGATATTTATTGGGTACCATAAATATTGATAATTTTTATCTATAATTGGTCAAACTTAAGGTACTAAAACGTAATACTGTGCTAGAATTACATTGTTTATGGGATGGAAGGAGTATAAATAAGGTCTGTGGGTGAAGCGTGATAAAAATGTCATCGAAAAGCACATTGTTTGGCTTCTAATTTTAGTTTACTTTAGCCTAAAAGTTATAACAAAAAAACCCCTTATTTACTCTCCTTCATACATCTGCTCAATCTCCGGCAACAAGAAGATAATGAGCAGAGAATGAAATGGAAGTAACAGGCGTGTCTGACACGTGGATATGTCCTTACTTAGCAAGGAAGAGCTACCAGTAAGACCCAAGAAGGATGCTATACAAAATTTTGGCAACATAGATGTTAACCTCCACTTAAGATGTCTACTCTGCTAGTTTAAATATGGATCTGATTTTGCTGTTGCTGGGGATGGAGACCATCCCGCTTCCTCTCGTCGCTAGCGAGATAGCCGAAGAAGGAGGTGCTAGAAGCTAGGCTTCTAGTTTCATTGATATTCTAGAGATTCCATGTTGAAGTTTTGAGCTAGTTATGAAAATCCGTTATGTCTTAAAATGGCACGTGTATATGGGTGGATAGATTGGCGAGATTCTGACTACTTTTTTTTTAAATAAAAATAAGTCGTTTTGATTTTTCTAAATACATGTCTTTTGTTATATATCTAGGAAAACAAAATAACTTATAACTTGAAATAGGAGGAGTATTTTTATGTCAATTTCAATTTTCCCACGCAAAGAAAAAGTTCCATGTTCTGATGTTTTCAGTGAAGTTTCATTTGGCACTAGACACCCACAGTCACACTCGATTCGAACGCCCTGGGCCATGTTTAGTTCCCCTAATTTTCTGAATTTGACACTATATAAAAAGAAGATTCCCCGTCACATCAAATTTGCGGTACATGCATGAAGTACTAAATGTAGATGAAATCAAAAACTAATTGCACAATTTAATTATACTTTGTGATACGAATGTTTTGAGACTAATTAGTCAATGTTTGACAATTATTATAAATATAAACGAAATGCTAAATTGTGCTACAGTGCATTTCTAGATCCGGCGGCGCCAACTTTGGCCGGAACTAAACGCGCCCCTGATCTGATTGATTACACGTTGACGGTGGTAGCCTCAACTCGCCCCGGCTCCGGCGCTGACCGTCGACCCGACCCTGGCTCGCCTCCTCCGCGCCGCGCGCGATCAGTCGAGTCAGGCGGATTGGAATGGATCAGTAGATCCCACTCCGCCAAAACCTTTGCTTGCACTGCATTCAACTCCCCCGGCGACACGCCACTCCAACCGCCGGGATCCAGCCGCTGCACGCGGCCACCCGCCGTGCCGGCCGGGCGGAGGGGCTGAGTGCGGGCGAGGCGGAGATGCAGAGCGCCACGCGGCTGACGCTGCTGCTGTGCGCGGCGTGGGCGGCCGCGCTGCTGTACGGCGAGATGGGCGCCTACTGGGCCTCCTACCTCGCATGCTCGTGGCCCTCGTCGTCGTCCTCCTCCTCGCCGCCGGTGAGTACGTGGCTACGCTCATTTGTGCGGCGGTGCGGCCGTGCGGGGGTTTTCGGCACGGCGGCCACGCTGATTCTAAATCCTTGTTCTGGATCCAAAAAATCAGCACTGCGTCGATTAAGCTAGGGTTGCGTAGCAGTTGCTCATCCTTTGCTTAGGCACGCATTTCGATCTCACCGAGGTAAAGGTTGTCTGGTGCATCGTCAAGAATGGATTCTCACGTATTAAAGCTGTGCAGTGCAGCAATACGGTTTTGTGGGCGCCTTAAATTTGATATAAGGCATTGCTTACCCGTGTTTTGTTGGCTTTGTCACAAATCATGCTGCACTCTTTATAGCTAGTCCTATGCAATTCATTGGGCACACAGTAGGTCAGTATTAAGAGAGGTTGGGGATGATAGTTTTCAGTGGACTAGTAACTCGCGAATTTTGCATGAAAACTTTGTTACACGAGCATATTATTTCCTTAAAATTGAATTTCAGTCGACTATCAAGTAACGATTTTGCACGATGTCATTGTTCTTACAATCATATTTCTCCCTTCAACTTTTCTTGGACAGAATAACCATGTAAAGGTTGCTGTTGTTGCTGACCCACAGGTGACTCCCCCTTCTAGCATTATTTTGGGCAATTCTGCCGTTAAACCAGAACCAGTAATAGTATGCAGAAATTGTTTTGAATACGTTGCTCCTTCCTGAAAAAGATTTTCCTTTGCATGCAGCTTATGGACAGCACCTCTCTTGGTCTTCCATCAAGCTCAGTTGCTCTCCAAGCTGCTGAGTTTTACACGGATTTGAACATGAGAAGGTCCTTCCAGTCTACCATACTGCCATTCAAACCTGATGTGGTCTTATTTCTTGGTGATCACTTTGATGGAGGCCCTTACATGTCCGATGAAGAGTAAGGCACGGATACTGATTTCTAATTCATCTTTTAATTGGTACACGAATTGCACTTATCAACATTCCAACTTGTCCTGTGATGAATGGGCACTATTGTGTGTGCTTGAAAGGAAGATGGTACAATTTGAATTGGAATGTGTAGTACTTAATCAATTAGAATGCAAAAGATATACACACAACCTTTTTGGCGGATGCAATTTATCCTTACAACAGTTCCATATTACCTTTATTGTGTAACCACCTATCCATAATGATCAAATTGTTCGGCATTTAGCTTTGTATTCTTTCCCTAATCTGTGTTCCAAACCTTTCAGGTGGCAGGAGTCATTGTTTCGATTTAAACATATATTCAGCCTGAATGAACAAAGAACAAAGCCACAGATCCCTGTTTACTACCTTTCAGGAAATCATGATATTGGTTACTCAGCATTTCATTCAGTTCATCCTGAGGTGATTAACTACAGTTGCCCCCCTCCTCTCTCTGAGTAGCTTTCCATTTACTACTTTCTGTAATCTCATGCGATTATTTATTTCCAAAGATATTTTATTTTAGCAGCCATACACTTCTAGACAAAGCTAGGCTTCCTTTCCATTAAGATTCTAAGTAGTTTCTTCTCATCTAGTGACTACCCAGACTTGGTCCCTGTTGCTGAAACTCTGGGTGACACCCCTTCCATGATTTGTACTTTTTCACCAAGTGCAGCCAGAACTGAAGTTTGCAACGCATTTTGAACCTAGATCATTGCTTTGCTAATTGCTGCAAGTGGCCCCTCTTGGTGTGTTTTCAACCTTTGCAAAGAGATGTTTGTAGCACCCTGCTGAACCCTATCACTGTTTTTTTCTCTCAGCTGGTTGGTCCTTCATGGCTTTGCCATATTACAAAGAGGCTATTTCGACATATAACAAACTTCTCATTGTAATCTGAAGTTTAACAATTTACCGAATTTAAGTTTACAGACCATAAAGTGTACACCTTAGCCAAATCAATGCATATATCTAAATTCTAGTTATGATTTGTGCATTTCTATAACTATGTAGTGTTCAGAAGACAAATATTTACATATTACATTGTATAATATTTATTTATTTTTCATGTAGGTGCTCAGTCGGTATGAAAAAGAATTTGGACCAAGAAATTATCAATTTTCTGCTGGGAAGGTGGACTTTGTTGTTGTTGATGCCCAAACACTTGATGGTATGTTTCTTCACCTCCACCTGTGCATTACAGCATTAAAGAAATCAACAATCCTAGTACAAACATTGGATTCATACTTTAGATTTAGAATCTAAGATTTGGTTGTTTTTCTTGATGACTAATGATCTCAAGTTGTCCACGATTTTCCTGCGATGCATCTGCTTTCTGCAGCTAAAAACTCTTACCAACCTACCATCTTTCTAGCAGGAGCTAAAAAAAAGCAAAGAAAGGTCCTCCTCTTGGGAGTTCATTAAAACTCTATCTCCAGGTATGGCCTTATACAGATGATCACACATTATCTACAGATGCTATCAGTCTATCACTTACTCTCAGTCTTAACTATTTTTTTCTTCTCTTTAAGGTAATGCATCAAACCCAAAGGTTCTACTAACGCATATTCCACTATACCGACCTGATAACTCTCCTTGTGGCCCACATCGTTCTTCACCTATTATAAATCAGGTATTCTTTTCTTGTTACCAAAAGGTATTCTTTTCTTGTTACCAAAAACGTGTTTATTCTATGCTATGAAAAGTAATTCATCAAACTTGCATATCGCATTTCGCCATATAAGGGCAGACACTGTACCATGGATTTTTTGGCCAGAATTATTCTTTTTTTCATATGTAGCATCATTCCTCCACTTTATTTGTTTTAATATTCTACAAGTTCTGACATAAGCAATTCAGTCAATCACATGAATAGTATGCTGATTGTTTTTATTCTGTTCAGAGGGTATCTTATGCTGCCTTAGACCAAGGAATCGCGTATGTTCTTCCTCACACTCTACTGCTTTGCTACTTTCATGTTTCAACTAATTTTGTATTTACACATAATTATCATTTGACTTGGAAAACAATGATTGTTGCTTTGACTTGTGATTTTATTTTGCACTCAACTTGTCTATCCTGTTCTGTTTTGAAGAATTGCCTATGTGATTAGTGGTATCTCAATTTTTTACAGTCTGGTTTCCTCCGATGTATTTTCTGTAAAGTCACTTCTGATCAATGGTCATACCAGTTCAAAAACCATTGTTGGCAAAGCCATATGGACTGACATAAGGCAACCGTTTTGTTGCAGCTACCAAAATTATCTAACTAAAGAGACTTCTGACCTTTTGCTAAGCTTGTTGAAGCCGGTAAGCTTCTGTTTGAAGAAATTTAGATTAACTTGTTATGCGTGTCTTTTAATCCAGCTAATCCCTCTGTAGGTCCTTGTGCTCTCAGGCCATGATCATGACCAATGCACAGTCGTCCACTCCACTCCTTTTGGGCCAGTTACAGAGGTAAAGAATTGCAGCTTTCGGTTGCCACATGTTCCAAGTTGTGCATCTAATGGAACTTTTAATGCCACAGTACACGCTGGGGACAATAAGTTGGCAGCAAGGAAATCTCTATCCATCTTTTATGCTGCTATCTGCTGGACCCAAGGTGTCACAAAATTCAACTGATCTGGAACATGAGGTTGTGACAAACCTTTGTTTTCTGCCTAAACAAACCCATATTTATGTCTGGTAATGGTTACAACACATTCTGCCTGTTCTATTTATTTAGTGATAAGATTTACAGTTGAACTATCCATCATTGTTGCTTGAACTGTTTGTACAGGTATATCTGCCAGTTTGTAGTGACCATCCTTCTCCTAGTATTTTGGCCAACAAATGGTCTCAGTTCTCTTCCATACATGAACACATTCGTGAGCTTCATGAGGTCGGTGGGTGCCGAACTGCTTTCAAGAACCAAGGAAAAAGATGATGAGGAAGATGGTGAATATGATATGATTTTTGATGCGGAAGGGTCCATGCACCTCGTTAAAAAGGTAGTGGCAAAGACCCCAAGTGCTAGCTCAGACTCCAGACCTACAGGGCGGTATGTGCTTTTTCTTGGATTATGGTTATAATAGATACTTCACACAACTGAATGAATGATTTCGTTCCTTTTAATTGTAATAATTGTATGATGATACGATTTTGCAACGTCATTGCAGTGGAAGTGTTGTTGCAAGGGCAACAGCAGGAAAACACCAATTGGAGCCTGATTCCTCATCTATTCATGTCGACATGGGTTCTGAGATGACATCAGAAGATGGAGGGAAGTTGGCCCGTGGTAGCAAATCGAGAGTAAGGAAGGTGCTCCAACGGCTGTTCCGTGTCATTCAGTCGATTGTTGTCATTGCTGCTCTGAATGTCCCCCTGTACATGATGCTTCTGTTCAAGGATTGGATTGATCGTTGAAGTATGTGAGAATCTATTGCTTTTGAGTAGTTCAGTAGATTGATATATCTATATGAACAACTGGCAACTGCACATGCAGAAAATAAAGTTGGTTTTTAATTTGCTGAGGCATCAAGTAGTATAGTGCAGTATCTCTATTTAACCTGGGCAATCGTTGCAAACGTACAACACTACCTTTGAGTTGATGTCAAAAAAATAAAATTACCTTTGAGGGGTGATGATGGAAGGATTTCTGGATTTGCTTCACATGAATCATTCCCTGCCTGGATACCAAAGACGGTTCATTAGGAATTTCTTTTCTTGTCATACTTGTGGGGAACTTGGCGTGCCAAAAGGATGAATCGAATGTATGCAACTGTGTTGGGAACATGCCACAAGTTTTAAGGACCCTGATTAACCAGAACTCCCAGCGAACAAAATAAGCCGTAAAGAATCCTCCAATTCACTGAGCGCGGAGCGCCCCTATACCAAAGAGCAGTAGTATGTCTGTAGCTAATCCGAATCCAATCCAAACTTCCGAATCCAATCCAAACTTCCAATATCGCATCGTACCTGCGCACCGGCACTGTCATGTGCTCCTAAATCCTTCGTGGCCAGCAAAGCCAGCCACCTGTTTCTGCGTGTGTCCAACAAAGTCCATTGGACATTCACCCTGTTCGCTTATACAGAAATTTAGCTTATGCTGCTGTTTATGTTGAAATGTTTTGAGAGAAAAACATAATTTCATAGCTGAAAAGTAGTTTCGAATAAGTTCAAACGAACAGGGCTTTGGATCTTGCGGTGCTGGATAACCAAATCCTAACAAGATTGTGGCTAGTGCAGCTAGGTGTGCTTGCTGCCGGCGCGGGTTCGATTCCCTGAATCGAACTCATGTCTCTCACTTTAAGAAGCTGCAGCCTCTCTCACGTGGAGCCCAGAGAATTGCATGTCTATGGAACCATGGATAATCCGGGTGATCTCTAACAAGACGCGGTCTTTTTATGTGTGTAGTTGTATGTCTAGCTTGTACACATGTAGTGTGTAGCGTGGCGTGTGTAAGTGTATGAACGGATACCCAGACGGGAGGCTTAAAAAAATTACAAGATCCATTTCCAGGTCTAGACACAGCCAGCCCCGCATTCCTCCTGGGCTCCTGGCCCAACTCTCGCGTCTTCGCCGTGGCCCAAGCACCCCCACCACTCCCACACACACACTTCGGACCCTATCTATCCCTATCCTGACGGAGGCGCGAAGATCGGGCGTGGCGGCGGCGCATCTCGGTGCGGGCGTGCGGCTGGCCGCCAGTGCGCGGCGCGGCGCTATCTCCTCTGCGGCTCTGCGCAGTCGTGGCGGTGCGGCGGCGTGTGTCCCTGCTGTGCTGTGACCTACCCAATATCGGCGTGCACAGTGCCCTCGGACGTGATTCCTCGTCAGAGAAGCCGGTTCCAAGTTTGTTTCAGCGTTTCCGAATCAGCAGTAGCACTACAACGCCAGCCGTCGTCCGTCGAGCACTTGTAATCCTGTAACCTTCGCCATGGCGCACGCGGCAGCCGCCGCCGCCGTGCCGCTACGTCGTCCGCTCCTCTTCCTCAAGGAGGCCCGCCTCCTGTCCTCACTCGCGGCCCCCCCTACCTGGCCTCCGCCACCCTCGCGCCCTCCGTCCCGCAGGCCGCCCCTTGCCCTCCGATGCCGAGGACACCGACGATCCAGACGCCGGCGGCGGCGCCAGCGCCGCCGCCGTGTCCTTCAATAAGAGCCGCAACGAGCTGAAGCGGGAGGCCCGCCGCGCCGTGAAGTGGGGAATGGACCTCGCCAACTTCTCCCCGCCTCAGATCAAGCGCATCCTCAGTGCCGCGTCGCTGGAGCGCGAGGTGTTCGATGCGCTCATGCTCGTGAAGGTTCGTACATCCGTTCGTTCGTTTCCTCGACGACATTGTGGTGTGGTGCATCACCGGATTGGGGACATTCACGTGTAATTCTTGCTTCTCAGAAATTTGGGCCGGATGTGCGGGAAGGAAAGAGGAGACAGTTCAACTACATCGGTCCGTCTGTTTCTCTGATCGATCATGTACTACCAGCATTTTCTTATGCCGAATTATTGTGTTCTTCAAGGGGGTTGCTTGGTTCAGTAATGGAATTTGTTGATCCATGACATTTAGAGATTGATTTATAAGTGTTTTTAAGCTCTTCAATGACAATATGGTTGCGGTATTTACAATTATATATAACATAATTTACCTAATATGTGTTGGTACATGGATGCAAAAGTACTAAAGAAGTAAGGTTTTCAGAAATAGATAGAGAGACAGTAAAGAATTGTTGAGCTATATTCGTCGTATATTACCTTTTCATTTTATGTTATATCCATCCATTTTGACCAGGAAGACTTCTGCGCAATGCACAACCAGAATTGATGGATACTCTAATACAGGCTTCCAAGGATGGAGATGAGAGCAAGTTACATACCTTACTTAGTGAAGGTACATTGTTGGTGGAAGAGGAGGAAGTGGAGGACCTACCTGATGAAGAAGAGGTAACCTTTTTGGTTAACATAACTAGAATGATAAAGACCTAGCAAACACTGAACTAACCGTTCAGCATTTCTACAGGACAATCAAGAGTATATGAAAATTGCAGATAGATGGTTTGATGGCCTCCTTTGCAAAGACATTTCGGTTACTAATGAAGTTTACTCTATCCATAGTGTTGAATTCGATCGTCAGGTATTGTCTGCACTTACATTTGATATTTGATTTGAAAATTTGATCAGAATGTTCATCCATGCATTGAATCGGCAGAGAAGAGATTAATAATGGGCGAATTGATACATTAATAATAATGGCTGACTTGTTTTTCATAGCACCGTTTTTTTCTGGGCTGCAGCTTAATTGATCTTGTGGCATCCTTTCTTAATTTTGTCTTCTAAGGTCTTGAAAAGCTTTACTGGAAGTAATTATTTGAGCCCCAGGTCAGGACAGCTATAACCTAACTAATAGGCAGGCACACTCAAATTAAAGTTATAAAACATTTTCCAAACATGTTTCTCTAATTGTTCCTAGCACCACTTTTCTATGCCTCTTATTGACCCATTCTTTGCTGGTAGTCTAGTATGGTTTGTCCAAAATACATGACTGAAATTAGTTTAAGAAGCCAGAATCCAACCTTTTCTTGTGCAAAAGCAGTTTAAGAAACAGACCATTGATCATTTTCTCTTGAATGAAATGGTAAAATTACTGTGGTCTTGTTGAAGTAGAGAGATAAAGTATAGTATTACAGGCAGATTCTGGTTAAAAAATGAGAAAATATTGAGTACACTCTGGAAATCAGGAATTACGTAGTTTCTTCCTGCTCAAAGAGCAGGAGTCTAAGGAGTCCTTACCTGTTTTTCATTTCTTGCATGAATTTTGTTCAGGTCTTCAGGTCCTCAGTTATATTGGTCTGTTCATCCTTTCACGCAAAACGTACGGAAAATTGATAACTGAAATGAAATTGACCTTTATCCAAACAGAAAGCTATTGCTGAAACAAAGAAAATAGGTGATTCAAATGCTGGTTCACATTGGGGTAACTTTGGTGCAAAAGGTAGCCAGATCGTATGGATGGAAAGATCTTCAGTAATGTTTCTAGAGAGCGGTAGACTTACACTGGGATGGGAGATTTAATTATTTCTTGATTGCTTTATGGAAGTATAATGCATGTTACTTTAAAGGGAAGGTTCATCTTAACTGACACAAAGATCTCAACTAAGGATCTAAACAATAAAGTACTCAATCTCTAAAGGACTCAGACTTATAATATATTTTCTGATCATGAAAGCTAATCTGGAACCATGAAGCCTCATTTGGTACTGTTTTTCCCAATAAGGGTCCACGAGAATAATCCATGTTAAGCTTGTTTAATTGCCTGATTGATTGTTTTGTCCTTATTGGCTATTGCCAAATAGCCTAATAAGTAAATGCATGCTAGATTTCTTACCTGTGCCACAAATTTCAAACCTTGATGAGCAATCTAAATTTCGAGCCTTGTTGTATGCCTATCTAAAAGTCTTTTGTTGTTATTTAACCAAAGTTTGCATCTCTATTATGTTGGTGCATGTCACTGACATTATTGGCATGTGTGTTATCATTTGTAATAGAGTCATGCATGATTCAATGTAGCAAGTGTAACTATAAATTGTGACTAACAACCTCAGTCACTGAGCAAAACTGATGTTAGGTCTATATAAACAGTTAAGGAACAAGTGTATATCCTAGTTCAGGTTAAGTATAATAATTGTAAGAAAGTAAATTACTGAAACATGAATGTTGTTATTTCATACTATATTGTAGATGATTGCTATGTTTTCAGGATGTTTAAGAACACGATTCTTATTCTGATGTAACATCTCAGTTCTCAGAACTTAAAGCAACAATAAACCTTTTGCTCACCCCCTTGATCCCTTCGGATTATGCAACATGGTTACTATGATCCCATATGGCCATATGGGAAGCATGGTTAGTAGCATTGTGATCTTTAACATTGTTCTGCATGAATCCAGTAATAATAGTGTTTGTGTTGCAATGTAGTATTAATTAAACTACGTGTAATGCCGGCTGTATATTTCTTGTTGCTGTGGTAAGTGAGACCATAGACTTGTGTTCTTTTCTTCTTGAGCCTTCTTATTGGCTGTGCTTTGAGTATGTCAAAGATGAACACTTCTAGTGCTGAAGCTTAATACATCCAACATGTAAGACTGGTGTTTGCATCGAACTCTAAAACTAAACTTTCTCATGAATACCTATTGAGGCATTTGGGATGCTCTTGCACACCTAAACTTACTAAAACAACTGAGTCAACTGCATTTGTTCTGGCTCAATGTTTGAGGTTCTTCAGTTGCTCTAACATTTTGTCAATAGGAACTGCGAAAGCTTGTGAAGAGAGCTCACATGGTCCAAGAAAGCACGCACAATAAAGATGGGGAAGATTCTAATGTGAAGCTTTCTGGAGCAAAGAAGCCACTTATGAGGTTCCTTCGTTCCCTAG